CCAGCGCTGGGGAGGCTGAAAACAGGAAGATCACTACGAGTCCAAGCTGCGTAGTGAGACCCTATGCCAAATACATAAGTAGTAAAAAGAGTTATTCAACAAACAAGAGGAGAAAATATTACCTCCTGTATGTCTTTCAAACCTTATAATAAAAGGCATACCCAGGGTGGCATTTCATCCTTTCTGTTGTGTGTTGCTCTGTCCTAAGTGTATAGTCAGAATGCTTGTTTTAGAGGTTGCAGCTCACATTACAAGCAGCACTTTTACTAAAATCCCCAGTCTCCTAAAGACATGAAGTAGTATTAAACTGATACTGAAATCATCTGTAATTTTTTGTCATTCTGATTTCCTGTCCGTGTTTGTTTAGCCTTCATATCATTGTCTTTGCCTTTCTGCAGGCGGGCAAAGTTCAGTTTGGATACGTGTATGGCATGAGTGCCATCGGCTGCCTTGGGATTCATGCCCTACTGAACGTGATGAGTTCTGCAGGAGTGTCCTACGGCTGTGTGGCCAGCGTGCTGGGGTACTGCCTGCTGCCCATGGTCATCCTGTCCAGCTGTGCCATCTTCTGCTCATTGCAGTAAGCGCCTGTGTGCACGCGTAATTCTTGCGCACGCTCATTACGCCAGCTTGCCAGACCAGTGCGGAAGCTGAGCTTTGTGGTGAAAGAATTGCGAAATTGTGCCTATTAAAAGCTACACGTAGGCTCAGAAAAGTAGATGGTTTGGGCTCAGGTGCTGTTGTGATTTCCATGGTTAAAAAAATAAAAGCAGCCAACTGATGTTTAACGCAGACACTTTTCAGCTGTCACAGTCTTCTGTGTGAACTATTAGCATGGGTAATGTAACAACTACAGAAAATGCACTGATTTGATTTTGGAAGAGTAAACCCAGTGAGACATTGACAGATCACTTCTGCTGCAGACACTCTGCCTTCTAGGCTGGAAACAACTGTTCTGTCTTCACTGAGCTCCTTGCAGTGTAGGATTCCCAGGAACCCTGATGAGCAGATTAATTCTGGAGAGTTCGGTAACATATATGCTGATTCGATACACCTTGTTTTTTAAAAAATTATTCTTTCACTTAGACTGTTGATATTTGGAATTTAAAATTTAATAAGAATTCAGTAGATAGAACTTCCTACAGGGCACTTTTTCAGGGCATATGGCTATCACTACTACTTTGGAGAGAACGATTGATTACATAGCTTGTTGTCTCCTGCTCTGTTCTCAGCCCACTTGGAAGTAAACATTTACTCTCAGTGATCATTCTTCCACACTAAAAAGAAAATCCGATTTACATTTTCTTCTTAGATGATATAATTATAAGGTTATTAATGGTACACTGGATGGAATAGTATACAAAGAATTTATCAGTACAAAGATAAAGAGCTTAAAACCTTTAAAATATAATTATTCTGATCACAAATACTTGTTTTCTCACATTATTGAAAATGATGTCGAAGTTCTGTTTTTGTCTTGAGACAGTCCCAATTTTAAAACTATACTTTTGAGAATAACTCATAGACAGCCCTATCCTTAACAGTGAGCCCACAACATGTAATAAAACCACTGTGCGTTGAGCAAAATAAGCCAGGCCCAGAAAACAAATATCGCATATTTCCCTAATATGAGGAACCTGGAAAAAAGATTACAAAAGTAGAAGGGGGACTATTATTGGGCAAAAGGAAATGAATAAGGGCTTGGGGAGGGGATACACAATGAAAACCCCTGGTGTGAAGCTGGGCATGGGAACAAAGGGGATGCTGGGGAATTGATAAAAACATGCTATGTGTGCATGCAGATCTGCCCAAATGAAACTCATTAATCTGTATAAGCAAAATGAACTAATAAAAATGTGTGAAAAGAAGACAATGGAAGGAAATGGGAACCCTGAATCCGTAAGTAGAACAGGAATTTTATTTATTGAGTTGTCTGTGGAAAGCTTCCGTGTTTCATGTATTATATTCCATGGAAACAAGTTTGATTCACCAGATTATTCAGTACCAAAGTTTAATATGTTAGCATATGATTTGGTTCTATAATTTCTGTTATGTCTAATGTTTTTACAAAATAATAGTATGATCTAGCATTTGAAAATTCTCAATTTTAAGCATTTGTAGTAAATTTGGGACACCATAAATGACTTCACAATATTAGGGGAAAGCAAAACCTGAAATATTTGAGTTTGGAAAATCATCAGATGTTTGTTCATTAGATTTTCATTCTGAATTGTAAAGGAGTATGTATCTCATGATGGACAAATGTCTGAGAAAGTCCATTTACAGAGTATAGTAAGTAAAGGTGGTGAGTGCTTCTGCCAGTTGCAATCCCACAGAAAGGCAAGTTTCTTTAATACTAGAAGTGATGCACTGAACCTTACTAGTATCTAGTTTCAACTTGTTTCGTGTCGTCAGTCAGTTATTAGCCTCACTGGAGAGAAAGTAAGTTTTCAGCTGTGCTGTAAATCATGGATCAGGATCAAAGCATCCACTGAAATTGTGTAAACTTGTTGCTTTAGATTCTAGCTTTTTAAAAAGTGTCAGTGCAGGAGATGAAGGCGGGGTTCATGCCTGTCATCCTGAGTCCAAGGTGCAGAGGTCTCAGTGGAAATTATCCAGTTCTCCTTCTGAGAGGAAAGCGTGGCAATGCAGATCCAACATCAAGGTGATGCCGATGGTGTTTTTTGACCTTGATGGAACTGTTCCAGCTGAGTTTGTACCAAGGAACCCTGCGGCAAGCTCTGAAAATCATAATGGCTTATGAGAAGAGTATTTAGAATGATGTGCATAGATAATGGTGTGAGAAGTGGGTTCTCCATCATGACAGTGATCCGTGTCAAGACTCCTCTGGCTCAGCAGCTTCTGTCAAATGAAAACATTGCAGCATGTCCTCACTACCTCATTCACCAGCCAGGTCCCAGTGCTGCTTCTGGATCTTCCCTGAAGTTCAAGGGACAAGGAAAGGCATTTTCAATCAGTTTAGGTGACCGAGGCAGCCCCTACAGTGCAACCAAACACACTTAGGAAAAATGACTTTTGCAACTGCTGCACATGGTGGCAGGATGATAGGATGCATTAGATGCAAGGAGGGGCTTTAAAGGCAAAATGTCTTTTACCACAGCAATTTAAAAATATAAATATTGATCCTGGCTGCTAATCTTATATAAGGAGAACTTAATTTATTTCGGCCCATGGCTCTAGTCCAGGCTCCAGTGGGCCTGTGGGAAAGGAACAGCATGGTGGGCAGGGGAAGGTACAGCAGGGTGCTGGCCTCATGATGCACAGGAAGCACAAGCGGACAAAGGAGGACCTGGGGCGCCATAATTCCCTGCAAGGGTCCCCCCACCCCAGTGGCCTAACTTTCTCCCCACAGGCCCCTTAATACTACCAGTCTGGTGACCCAGCTTTAGCTCATGGACATCTGGAGGTGTTTAAGATCCAAACCATAGCACATGATTTCAAAATATTCTATTAAATAGGGATGAACTATGGAAATTCTATGGCTGTTAAATTAAAGTGACCTTTTTAGGCATGTTATTGTAAAATTAAAATAAATAATACATAATTTTACATTTTATTCCCATAAACATACATTAAATCACTACAGAAATGATTCCTATTATCAGTTAAGCCAATTAATGTTGTATTTATTAGGTGCTTTAAAACATTTTGTTTTATTAATCAACCAAGGCATTATTATAAGCTACATGGAACAAGTTTTCAATAGTTTTCTTTGGCTTCAATAATTAAAAATATTTCTGTACTTCTTATAAGTAGTAAATATAATCCTCAACTTTAGGGTCAAATTAGATCAAGTAAGGCTATGTAATTTGATGGTAGAAATAACACAATGCTAGTTAGGTGGTCTTTATTTAATTTTGTCGAATCATCTTCTTGCTTTGAAGCTGGACTGTACATAGCTCCTGAGGTCTTTCCGATTTCATATGTCTTATTTTTGTAAGTAAGGGATTCTGTTTAACACATAAGGAAATAAATTTATTTTTACTTTCTGTGTCTCCTTTCTCACTCTCCAAGTTGCTAGGCTTAGCTAACTGCTTCAGGGTTTTTTTTTTTTTTTTTCTTTTGTTCATAAAGAATAGATTGTTTCTACATTTACTTCTTTGGTGATGCCCACTTGAACAAACCCAGTCCAGACTGAATGGATTAAAAAGTTCTAAAACCACAACTGTGGCATACAAAACGGTTATTACTGTGAGTTCACACAGATGATCTGTGCTTTCTTATTCTGTGTATTTGCTACCTGAGATTTGCTCTCTCAGACAAAGCTCGGGGTAGAAACCACAGAGGAGGGTGAACTAGCCGCTCTGTGCGAACATAACTGCTCCTTTCTGTTCTGCTATGAGTCAGTTATGAAGACAATGGCAGAAAGGGAGACCAAGTGTAAAATATGAGAGAACTTCAGGGTCAGGCTTCAAATGTTACACAGAAGAGTTCCTGGGAATGTCATGTTTTTGCTAATTCTAGTTGTATGGAAATATCAAGTATTTGCCTTTCTGGTGAAGTGACACCGTTTTCTAACAGGGTGAGGCCTTTCTAGTTCATGTTTCATTGGCCTCATTTTACAAATGGCGGAAGTAGGTATAGATAATGTTTCAGGGTCCATTGTGACTCGGGCATCCTGATTTCTCCTAATGTAAGGAAATCAACTCCTTTGTGTTTGCCACAGGGGCACCGTGGGGACCCTGGCAGCCCTGGTTGTCATCGGTTGGTGCAGCCTCTCGGCTTCCAAGATCTTCATTTCTGCCTTAGACATGGAAGGACAGCAGCTTCTGATTGCCTACCCTTGTGCCTTGCTCTATGGACTTTTTGCCCTTCTGACAGTTTTCTGAAGCATGTTGGAGGCAGCTTTACAAGAAGATTCTGTCTGCTTGCTGTTTGGATTATGCTGCAGCATAGTAGCACTCAAATTTGGTGACACGATTTCTTATTTAGTACTGTTGAGAGAATAATAGGCAGAGAAACACAACAACACTTAAGGATGGTACTGTAATGCTCTATTTGCTTTGAATCATTGTTTTTCAGTTTGGCACATTACATTTTAAAATGTTTTCAAATAAAATGAATTATACTTGCTACCCTAATGAACATTGCTTTTCTCAATAGATGTACTTCTGGGAAATAATAAGTGAAACCTTATTCTTACTGTTTAAAGCAATTTACAGTAAGGCTCTTGAAAAACTTTACAGAATGCTCAAGCTGCAGGCATGTGGTTAAAAAACTGCATATTCAGCCCACTGAGAGATTTCAGGGGTGCGTTATTCAGGGTTCTATTTGTGCAAATAGTTAAAGGACCTCCCATCTTTCAATTCACATACTTTAACAACTTTTCTTTACCACCATTTTGGTAATGTGTTAACCTACTAATTTTCAAGCTCTAATTTTCCTCTCACTTGGTTTAAGGCCATGGGCCATTACTATAATTTCTCCCTTACATATCTCATTCATAACCTTGTTATTTTCTTCTAAAAAACAAAAGATTGTAACTAGAAGAAATCCCACTTACTTCATCTTAGAATCTCAGGCCCAGCCCCATATGTCCTAAATTAGCATCTGCACTTTAACAACATCCCTGATGATCTATAAGCACAATGAATTTTGAGAAATACTAGCCAAGAGGGACTTGCCTGTGTGATATGATCTTGTTTTGTCTTTCCCATTACCTTTCCTGTTCTCTCCCTTGTTCTAGTGCTGCATCACATCCTTAGTGTAGGGGCTGGGGAGATAGCTCGGCGGTCTAAGAGCCTGCCTGGCAAGTGCAAGGAGCCTGGTTCAATATGCATGCCAAATGCTGTGCCAGCCGCAGAACTCCAGGCATGCTGAGCTGGCCACCAAAACTGGGTGTGGTGGTACCAGGAGGATCGCTATCAGCCATGTAGCAAGACCCTGTACCAGATAAATAAATAAATAAA